GCAGAGGTAAAAGAGAACGAGGGGTGAATAGGAGAACCAGGCCTGTCTCTAACTCTGAATTCATTTTTAAATGCTCTTAATTAGGGATTGCTGAAGCTGATTTATCTGAGGCCAGAAGCAACAGGATTCCAAGAGACACCATTATTTTTTGAAAATCATATCTGTGGGTTTGGGGACACTGGCTTCTCGGTGACAGTTGGCTGGAGAGAACAAGCGCAAGGAATGGCCTCTGAAGCCCCATGTTCCACTCTGGTCCCTCTATTGCTTAGCCATGTGTCAGGTCAGGAAATCTCTCATTGTCAGGCAGTCATCCTACTCACAGTGCAGAGGTGACCTATAGCTTCAGGGTGTGTCATGGGAGGCACCTAGCACAGAGGCTGGCAGGTGAAAGCATGCATATCTAGGAGCCATTTGAAAATGTTGTTGGTAATGGTGCGTAGTTAGGATGCCACCTGCAAATGGCCATGGCTCAGCATGGTTTGGAGAACAAAGCTGAGGAGGTGAGGAAAGGCTTCTTAGACGTTGTGGTTCTTGAGCTCAACAGAAGCCGCAGCCTATCCCTTTTCATTTATTGTAGACACTCCAAATAGATGGAAGACCTGAAGCTCTTTTGAAATTATTAGAGTTCCAGCTGTTCTGGAAGCTAGGATGTCTGTTGCTTTAAGTCTCTTTTTCTTCCTACCCCTCATCCCAGTTGATCTCAGCTATGTGTGGTGATTCTGTTTATCTTACTGCAATTTTTCAGTCTTCTTAGGAAGATACAATAATGCTGCCCCCAGACAGCTGTGTTTGGGAACAAAACTGACTTAACCAGCTGGCTGGCATCGTTGGAGCCCAAGGACTTGTCAAGCCAGGGAGAGCAGCTGTTTGGGCTGACATTCTTGTAATTCTTAGGACTTTGCTTTCTATATAGCAGCCTTTGAATTTGCTTTTAAATGCACACACAAAGGATATGGAACCATGAGAAAGGATCTTTGGGTGTCAAGGGCCACCACCTTCCTCTTCTGTCTCCCAACTAGAGTTCCAGAAGGAGGCTAACTTCACAGAGTAAGAGATGATAACCAGTGGATCGGTAAATTTGGACTACAGCACAGTGTAGGCAGTATGTAACTATTAAGAATCACACTTTTAAAAAGTTTTAGAAGGGCCTTGTGGTGCTGTGTGACTGGAAGATGGAGCAAGAAGCCTAGTCTGCAGGGTAACCCTGACTCCCACCTCCTCTCTGGTAGAGGTTTAGCAGCTCCAGCGGAGCCTCCTTCTTCACCACCCTGAGTGCATCAGAGCACCAGGGTGGCCTGGGCCTGCAAGGAGAATAGTGAGACCGTGTGTCAGGCTTCTGTGCGCCAAGTGATAGGAACTAGGGCGTCCGGCTCCTAGCCCTACTCCAGGCACGAAAAACCCCATGTGATGCTGAGCAGCTGTGTTCACTGGCAGCTGGAGATAAACACCTGTGATCACCGGCATACAGCAAGTTCTGTATTGATCCAGGCCAGTGTGCACTACCAGCATGTCTGTGTCTGCAGATGGTGCTGTAAGCACCTCATCGATTCCTGGCTGGACCCTAGCCATTGCTCTTGAAGTTACTAAAGTCTGTTGATGCACAAAAAGACACTTATACTATGAAAGAGGTCATATTTTATCTTGGCCAGTATATTATGACTAAATGATTAGATGGTGAGAAAGAACATACTGTATATTGTTCAAATGATCTAGGAGATTTGTTTGGACCCTTTTGTATGAAAGAGCACAGGAAAATGTATACAGTGACCCACAGAAACTTGATATAATGAGTCAGCAGGAGCCTCAGACTCTGGCACATCTAAGAGTGAGAACAGGTGTCACCTTGAAGGTGGACGGGAGCAAAAAGACCCTGGGCAAGAGCTACTAGAAGAAAGGCCTTCCTCTTCAGATGTGGTTTCTAGGCCATCTACGTCATGGAGAAGGAGAAGAATTAGAGAGATAGAAGAAAATTCAGTGAGCTGTGTGGTGAATGACAAAGAAAATGCCACAAATCAGACAGTATTTCTCTCTTTTGATGAAAGCCTGACTCTGTGTAGAAGGGTGATAGATTGTAAAGGAAATCATAGCAGCGAACCGGCAGAGACTGCATCTAATCTGGATCTGGATGATGGTGTAAGTGAATGTTCAGATGAGTGGTTGGATCAGAAATGTTTTGAAACAATTCAGTGTAGAATTTGAAGCTGAAGCTCTTGATTCAGAAGATTATAGTCTTAATGAAGGAGGACAAGAACTCTCAGGTAAAGATGATGAGGTATATCGAATTACTGTGTGTCAGGCAGGGAAAGTGGTACAGATTCACTTGAAGAAGATCCTAAAATTTCCCTAGCTGACTATTGGAAGTGTACTTCATGCAATGAAATGAATCCTCCCCATCAGTCCTATTGCATCAGATGTTGGGCCCTTCGTGATAATTGGCTTCCTGAAGACGAAGGGAGAGATAAAGAGGAATCCCTGGGAGAGCCAAAGAAAATTCCACACAGGCTGAAGAGGGCTCAGACGTACCTGATGGTAAAAAAGCTGCAGCAGATGATTCCAGAGAGGCATATGTTGATGAAAATAATAAAGTTGCAAGAAAGTGAGAACTATTCTCAGCCATCAACTTCTAGTAGCATTATTAATAGCAGCCAAAAAGATGTTAAAGAGTTTGAGAAGGAAGGAACCAAGACAAAAAAAAAAAAGTGTGGAATCTAGTTTCCCCTTTAATGCCACTAAACCTTGTGTGATTTGCCAAGGTCGACCTAAAAACAGTTGTGTTGTTCATGGCAAATGAAAACATCTTATGTCATGTTTCACACATGCAAAGAAGCAAAAGAAAAGAAATAAGCCCTGCCCAGTATGCAGACAAGCAGTTCACATGATTGTGCTAATTTATTTCAACTAGCTGACATAGGCATAAATGCATGCATTTTTAATTTCTGACTATATAAGCCTAAAAATTTAGACAAGACAGATTTTATGGACGTATATCAAAGCGAGAATATAAAGACATTAACTATAACTTAGTACCTTTTGTATAAGAAGGAAAAATACATGGAAAGATTTAATATTTAAAATGTAGATACTCTGAAATACTAATCCTTAGTTTCCCTCCTCTTTGAGAAGTTCTTATTTATATCTGGTGCTATAATGTAGGTAAAAATACACCACTTATAATTAATAAGAATCTTCAGTGAAATAGTGAAAATAATGAGAATTGGGAATAGTAATTGAGATTATAAATGATGACATATGTAAGAAGTGTTATTCAACATTCAGCTCTGCTAATTGGGCCTCATTTTACATGCTTATAGATTACCAGTGTGGTCTTGATTGCCGAAATTTTTAGGTTTAACATATGTATATTTATTGATTTACAAATAAATGATTTATCAAACATTTTTAAAAATTTAATGAAGAGGAAAATACTGAAATATAGTATTTTAAAAGCGTGTAGGTTACACAGTGGTATAAAGAATATAATTCCCAGTATGGAAAAGTATGTTTAGCTGTAAATGAATATTCATGCAAAGCACAACCCAGCCCCTGGGGTATATAGCAAATACTTAGTAAATCATAGCTACTGCAATGCAAACTCTAACCATGGGAACATATTTGTGTCATTAATTCCCTGTTACACCCAGAGTACTTAGTATAAAGTAGATGTTTGGAAGAATTTTGCCAATTGGATGAATGAATCTTATTGTTATACACACTTAAAAATGAATCTGGAAAATACCCCATGTTATCATCTGTGCTTATATCTATAACTGTGGCCACTTTGCCTCTCTGTGCTCTCGTTCTTTCTAAAGTGCTGAGGACATCGGCTGCTGGGCGGGATTGCTGGGAGTTGGGTGAGCCACATGCAGTGCACAGCGCACTTACTGATCCCTCAGGAACTGGCCGTAAGGGGTGGCTGTTGTAGTCATGACAAGTGCCATCTGGGTGCTGGGCATTCTAACTAGTAAATTCTATAGAAACAAAATGTAAGAGTTGTCATGATTTGTGTCTGTCATTTTCCTCTCATTTTTTAACCATGAATTTAAGTGATAACAGTAATAGCCCAAAAGAAGAAAAGTCATAAAAAAACAAAATGCTGATAGTGATAATTTCTAAATGGTAGAATTGGGAGTTTTTCTGTCTTCTTGAGACTTGTACGTTTTCCAAACTGGAATAGATAAATAGAGATAAATAGATAGACATTTTTCTAACCCAGTGTAAAAATAAATAAATAAATAAAGCAATGACTCCCCAATATACATTGCTACCACCACCACCCTTTAACTAAGGAGATGGAAACTGAGCCTCAGAGACAGCTCAGAGGTGCTGCACTGGGAAGGGTGCACCCTGAGGCTGGGGAGTCACAAGGTTCACAGTACCCTGCTCTGGGGCATTCCTGGAATGTTAACGATGTGCTTCCCAGTCTAAGAAAGTTAGCAAGCAGTTAGTAACGGGGAAATAGGACCGGTGAGGAAAGAACCAAGTGTGATGGTGCGCACTGGGAAGTTGAGGCAGGAGGCTTGCAAGTTTGAGCCCCACCTGGGCAGAATAGCAATTTCATGAGACCCCGTATCAAAATTTAAAAAGGCCTGGGGAAGGAGAGAAGGAGGGGAAGAAGGGAGAGAGGAAGGGAGTGAGGAAGGGAGAGAAAGGTTGGTTAGTTTTGATTGATTCGTTCTGGAAAAATGTATTCAGAAAACGTAAAAAACTGTTAACTAACAGTGGTTTGTCTTTATATCAACTACTTTCCATTTCCCCTGGAGAAGAGAACAAAACAGAGATCCATGAAAATTATGGTAGGGGCTAGAATGGAAGCGAACGGTTACCAAACTCTGGAGCCTAATGAGAGTTCCCAGACCTGTGTACAGGGAAGCCCTGAGCAAATGCCCTGGTCTTTTCTAGTCTTTTCCTGCTGATTCTAAGCCACCACTAAACTTTTGGTTGTGCCAATTCAGGCCAAATTCACTACGTGTATGACCGTCTCGTGAAACTTTTATTTGCAGATATTCAACACTGTGCCTGATGTGCCGCTCACCAATGCCCAGCTGCACCTCCTGCGGAAGAAGAGCAGTGACTCCAAGCCCCCGTCCTGCAGTGAGAGGCCCCTGACGCTCTTCCATGCCGTGCAGTCCACAGAGAAGCGTGAGTCCTTGCTCCTGAAGACCCATGCCATGCCACCTCCTGCTGCTTGTGGGGGCCTTCTCTGGGCCCTGTGCGCTGTGGGCCTTTGTGTTCTTGTGGACCATCTTGTGATGCCCTTCCAGGTTCCATTGCTTAGTAACCCCAATAGGGCAAGAAGCAGCATTGCTGTGAATGAACAGCAGAGCCTGTCGCGGAGGATTCTCTTTCCTGATCTGTGGGCAAACACGTGAGCCTCTTTCCCCCAGTTACACAGTGAGAACTCTCCTCTGGCATCGCCTTTGTGGCCCCTCTTTTGTTGGCAGCTCCCATAGAAGCAGTTTCCTCTCCTTGTCTCAGTGTGTAATTGAATGCTCATTGGAGGGAATCATGTGTCCTACTAGAATGTGTCTCTGTGAGACAGAGACCTTGTTCTGCTTGCTCCCGTTACCCTACCTCTCTGTGTCTGGTGTGGAGCTGGCACTTAAAAATATTTGAAATTAATTAATGAGTTCATTAGAGAATAATTCCTCCTTGTTCCAAATATCAGAGTATTATCACCACAAATATGTCAAATAATTTTTACTTCTGAGATGTTCTTTGCAGTAATCAGGTACTGGGCCTAAAATATCCAGTCTTGTTTCAGCTTTTACAATAAGAGTCTTGTGCAGTGTGGGAGTAGAAACCTCAAGCTCTGCTAAAAAGCCTCAGTTTGCTTATCTATAAAATAGGTACAGTAGTGCCCACCTCACGGGGAGTTGTGAGGATAAAATGAAGTGATGGATTTCAGCATTGGTACAAGGCCTAGAACATGGCAAGGGCCAAAGATCACGAGCCATTGCTACCATTATTAGTTATTCTTTAATCACACACAGATACCAAGGTTGTTTTATATATGCAGCTGATGTTTACATGATGTCTGCCGGGACTGGGAATACAGAAGTAAGATCTTTTGTCTCGGGAGCTCAAGGCTGGGTGAGGGAAGTAGACTGCTGAATACCCTGGGGTGAAGTCAGCACAATAACTGCTCCCGTAGAGAAAAGTACCATAGGGGAGGCACAAGAATGTCCTGGTTACCCATAGGCACTGTTGCTCCAGGATGCCCAGGTGGGAAGTCCACCTTTGCTGCTCAACAGCTGTGTGTGGCTTGGGAGGTCGTGTAACATTTCAGGACCGCTGACTCCTCTGGAAAAGAGGGATAATGGTTTTCCAGGATGTCTGAGTTCTTTGTGGTAATCAGGTAGTGGGCCCTAAAATATAGAATCTTAGTTCAGCTTTCATAAGAGACTTGTGTAGTGTAGCATAGCAATTGAGGCCTCAAGTTATCCTGCAAGTCATATGGCTGTTGAGATGATTGAAATGCTTTGAATGGTGCCAGGTGCAGAGTTAGTGCTTGCTAAATGCTGGGTGGTGGTATCAGCATCATTATCATCATCATCATTACTACTACTACTACTGATCTCCCTGAGATACAGCAGAGACACAGAAAGAATAGTGACCTGCTTTCCCTTGAAGAGAGGCTGCATATCTGGGTTGGCATCTTCCTCCATTTTTGTCACAAAAGTGTTTATGATAGCCTTGTATTTCAAATACAATGGTCCTTCTTATGATAACTCTTGAAAGCAAACCTACCCTGTTCCCAAACCTCACTGCACTGAAAGATGCGCTAGTTATCCATAATAAGGCCACATCTTAGTATTTAGCACCATTTGAGTTGCTGTAGAAGTTTTATTTTTATAAGTAAATCTGTTATCATTCTTGTTTCTAATTCTGCTCATATTTATGATCATTTCCTTAAGATAAATTCCTGGAAGGATTCCTAGGTTGGTGGATATGTACACTTTCAGGACTTTGACTCCATCCATCTCGGCACTGGCTTCCTCCTGACAGTAAATGTTCCTCTTAGATGTCTGGCTGGGCTTGTTTTCTCCATGATCTGCACATGGCCTGGGCCTCTCGTTGTATACCAGGGAATATTTGGAACAGGACTGACCTCACCCCCATCTACTGAGCAAATGAAGGATCAGGCTACATGGTGATGTACTTCTTAGGTTTCCAGGAAAGCCACGGTCACCTAAGGTTTCCTACTAAGCACTGTATAGGGCAGATTGGGACAGGCCAGACAGTATCAATCCATTTCCCTAAGCTTAAGGTAGAACTGGGTTTGTGGCTGGAATGGCACAGAAGCAGCCTCTCAGTAGGTCTTCAGGCACACTCTGGAGCATGCAGGGAGGTTGGAGATGCGGAGAAAATCAATTAGATCCGTGTTCCAGATTAATTTTATCACACAAGGCAGAGTGAAAGTTAAGGACATGTGAAAGCAGATCTGCCTAAGCTGCAGAACAGGCTGCTGTGTCCCTGTGTGCGGCAGACAGTGAGGCAACAGGGCTCTACTCCCAACATTAGGAAACACCCCTCTGAGACAGGCCACAATCTCCCCATGGTCCGATGTTGGTAGGTACCTCACTGCTCTGTTTTCTCAGAGAAAAAGCATTGTAATTATAGTTGAAAATCATATATAAACATAAAAGCATTGAGTGTGTTTTACCATCTGTTTTGAAGACCTTTTTTTTGTAGGAAACTGGGATATACTGGGCTGTTAAGGAAAGCACCATGGCAAGGGTGCAGAGTCAGTGCTGCAAGGACTAGGCCAGGAACTGCAAGGTTCTGTATGGGACTTGGCACCTCCCAGGTTGTTACCCAGCCCCCATCACTGTTAGCCCAGCGGGCACCAGTGTCCTGTGATGTTTTGACACACTTCTCCCTCCCCTTTGGACCACGGACACAGAGAACTTGACCACAGCATTCTTTGGAGGTTAAAGTACGTGTAAAAATTGTAGAGGACATTTGTGGGGAAAATGCATATTTGCATAGAATGATGTTCTTCAGTGTAAGGCCTCTTTAGACAGTGCTTCTCTTTACCTCAGTGCTTTTCAAGCTTTAACTGCTTACATAAACCTCTGCTCCTTCTTGGGGCCACAACTACGTAACCCAACCCTGTGATTTGTTTAATGTACTTCAGTTAATCTTAAAGCAAACCACTTCTCTGCGTGATCTCTTGTCCTGATATGTAAAATCTCTAAAAACATAAATTTAATGGTCTCATTGTATCATTCTCTACCACACAGCGAAATAATTATGTAACCATTAAAATAAAAAATGTTTGTCCACATCCCACTTAGAATTTTCTTGTCTACCACCTATTATTGAATATGCACCATTAGTCTGAAGTCCACAGACCTGGCTCTTAATTTTGACTGACTCCAGTCTTTCTTCTTAGTTTAAATATGTAACTTGTTTCTTTTATGAACTTGACTAGAATTGGGTTCAGAGTATGTTAGGGGCTGTTAATGTTGCAGTGAACGCTCACCACTGACCTGTCAGCCTCGTGCTGTGCACTTTCAGCTCATTGTGACACCTGTCCAAGTCTGATGTGACTCTGCCTTCCTTCAGGTTCTTGCCCCAGAGCAAAAACCCTGTTAGAGGCCTGTGCAGGGTAGGCACACATGGCATATACACATGCGTGTATACCTCGCCTCTACCTTCAGAATTGCCACATCGCAGTTTCACAAGCTCATTTCTTCTGTCTTGGCTGCCTGATCTCCTTTGAGTCCAGTTGTGCTCGTTTATCTCCTCAGTGCAGTACTTGCAGTTTAATATTTTTCCTCCATCCCACTGGCCAGTCCCCTTTACAGTCCCCAGTTGACAAGCTTGTTTGTTTTGTTTTTTGGTACCGGGAATTGAACTCAGGACCCTGCACTTGCCAGGCAGGTGCTGTGCCACTGAGCTGTATTCCCGGCCTGCCAGTTGAGATGCTTAATGGGGCTGAAGCTTCTGGAGTAGCCCCCTTGGAGGTTCTGGCTGTTTATCATCAGCACACATTTACCCCATCTCTCTCCAGTGACCCTGTCCTGTGGAGAAGTTCAGCCCATTATGTCCTGCCCGAGGTGAATCTGTGCCAGTACTCATGGCTTTGGATTGTCATTTGCCTTCCTCTTCTCAGAAAGGACACTCCTGAGGGTCACTTGGAGAAATCTATAGGCTTAGTTCTATCTTTGACTCATGAAAGTAGTCTGGCATGATAAGTGTGTGTCTTGTTTTCCAGAAGTTTCACCTGCTGTGTAGGTAGACCAGTTGTGTAGCCCAGGCACCTGCCCACAACTTTCTGCTTTAATCTATGGGAGTGAATGGAATTTTCTCTGATGACTTTTTCCTTTTCCCTAAAGGTAAAGCTGTCTTTTTGATGACAGTGATGTCTTCCAAGAATGACAAACCACGTGATTTCTCCTACTGTGTGCTGGGTGGAGGTTTAGGTCAATTACAAGGTAGCATATGGCTTCTCCTCCCACAGGCAGTGTGTGGTGGACGCCCGGGTTGGAATGAAATGGGAGTGGCCAGAGAGATGAGGGCTTCAGGGAAAAGGGCTATGAAAATGATGGGAGAATGCAGGATTTAAAAAGCATCATATCAAAACATGCAAATCATCAGGAAACCACTGACTATTTTAGTGAAGAGTGGGCTAGATATCACAGTTGTCTGTAGCTCATCAAGGAGAGTTTTCTAAAAGGGGAAATTTTGAGAAAGATACCAAAAAAAATGAGTGTCCTGATCTGGCCCAGAGGACAGAAAGGAGGCCTGTGGTGGATAATGGAGCAGGAGCAAGTCCTTTCTGCAAGAACCCATGGGTGCCTCTGTCTCTAGAACTGATGAGAGGCCCATGGAGCAGTAATTTCCCCAAATACAACTCGGGAAACATTTTCCCATAGAAATTGGTTTTCTGTTTATCTGTGTTTAATACATGTGACTAAATAACTTACCAAGCTGTTATTTGTGCTGGGCACTGTGTAAAGCAACATCATTTAAACTTTAAAATTATATGATACCGATAACATCCCTATTTTCCAGTTGGGAGGAAATAAAATTTATATCACATCATATACTCAGGGCCATCCAGCCTCAAAGTAGTAGCTTTGTACCCAGTTAGCACACTGCAAAGCTGTGCTATTAACTGGTAATCCAGATTT